TTTGATTTACTAATAGTCTTTTATTCTGTATGTTGTAGCTCTTACGGTGTGTTCACATACACGGCTGTTTAATAAAAGGATTGTGAACCATCAGTTTGAGAGACCATCTTTTCAACCGGGGATGCTACAGTAGGAATAAGAAATGACAAAAGCGTGACACATCCTGGTCTCATGGTTTGATTCCAGCTGTTATCTGGCCTTTGGCACATGAAGCATGAGGATCATCAGTATAACGGTGTCTTTAAATGTGTCAAAAGGAAATAAACGGAGACACTGCAAAAACTGTTACTGATGAGACAGATTTTGTTAAATCGTTACAGAATGTGCTGAGTTTGTGCAGGCGTCAAGGTCACGAGACTCGAAAATATTTTTCAATGAAAGTATGAAAACTGAAAAAGGAGCAGTAGGGGGGAAAGCGCAGGAACTGCAGCAGAAACAAAACAAAAGGAGAAAACTGGCTGTCAGGAGAATGACAGCAGAACTGCCACAAACACACACAGTAAGTTACAAACTCAAAGAACACAAGAAAAAAAGGACCTTGAGCTGCACACTGCCATCAACATCTTACTGTGAAGCTCAAAGATGAAACGGTACGTCCAGATTCTCTCGGTAGATGCACATTTTTTATTAACTGCTGACTCAGTTTTAGTCAGAAAAACTACAGGACAGTTTCTCTTTTAAGTTCAGCTGCTGGTTTTTTTAAGTCTGGGATTCAAGGACCTTCAAGGGGTCTGAGGGGGATTTGAGGTCTCCAACAAAGTATTGAATCCTTTATTTTTATTATTCTGTTTATTATTTTATTATTCTGTTCTTGAGGAGCTGAAAAAGGGGAAATATATAAGAAACAGTGCTCTGATGGGAGCTTTAGTTTTTATACGCAGCTGTCTCAGAGTCCATATTGTGCTTTGCATAATAAAATAAACTTTTATTAACTTCTTGGGTTGAAAGATGTCATTTGTACCTGATTAAGTTTCATATAATGTTTAAAACAATGTTTAATTCAGCAATGATCTGGATTAAATGTGTGTGAATATTAACCCTGTCCTGTTTGTCTATTTGGTCCCATATGAAAGACGAATAACTAGAAACTTTGTAACAGTAAGCAGACACCACGACTTGGCGAACATAACGAAATCGGACACTTCAGGAAAAATCTAAATCTTAGAGCGGTTGGGTTGTTTTGGTTTGTCCAGAAGAGTCTGATTTCGTTAGGAGTGTCGAGACCTGCTAATAGAAGCTTTGTGTTTCTGTATACATTGTCTGGATTACCTGATGCTGCCTTGATGAGGGTCTTCCACCTTTGCTAAAGGAGTTTGTAGTTAAAGGTGTTGTGAATAACTGTAGGGTGTCATTAGATAAAGCTGCAGCAAGAGTCCTGACAGGAACTAGAAAGAGAGAGCATATTTCTCCTGTTTTGGCTTCCTGTTAAATCCAGAATTCAAAATCCTGCTCCTCACATACAAGGTCTTAAATAATCAGGCCCCATCTTATCTTAATGACCTTGTAGTACCATATCACCCTATTAGA